GAGGCGCTCGGCCGCCTCCGACCGCTAAAACCAATAACCCGCGGGAAGGGGGGGGCGGCCCGGGAAGCGGCTTGGTCCTGTTCCCTCCTCCGTCCCGGCTGCAGCTACATTTTGCTGAGAGAAGCAGGCTGGAGCCTGAGGAACGGAAACAGGGTTTGCTCAGCGGGGAAGAAAACAGCTCCGGGCCCGTGCGTCCGGGAATGCCCTCTGGGCACGCCGCAGGCCACAGCCAGCTCGCGGCGCGTGTGCAGAGCGGGAAGCTCAGAGCTGCTCCCCTCGGCCTGGCACCGGGACAAGGCAGGGGACAAGGCAGAGGGAGCAGGGGAAGGCGCTGCGGCAGGACACAGCTCTGCGCACAGCTTGTGGGACACGGCAAAGGTGCCCGCGGGCAGCGAGGGGCCTGCGACAGAGCCAGCAGCAAGCATAGACTCTTAAAAGAGCAGGTTTCGGGGGAAAGGGGTGGTGGACAAAGCCCTGCCAGCATCTGGGGAGCAGACATCATGCTGTGACTGCTGCTTGGATAAGAGAGGCGTTTCTCTTCCCGCACAGAGCAAGCACACGAGGCCAGGAGAGCTGGAGCCTCACCACCTAGAGGCTGGCTGCTGTGTCCAGAGCTGCCTACGCACAGCAGCCACGGCACAAGGAGACTGTCCCGGAGACGCGGGACAACGTGCAGGGGATGGAGCCCGTGCCAGAACGGAGGGGACGGGGTCACAAGGGACCCGGCACGCTCTGCTGGGAGCTATGGTGTTATGAACACAGAGATGCCTGGATGATGCAGCTGAACCCACACGGTGAGCTCTCCCCATTACCCCTGCACCCCATGCGTCATGCGCTCAGCCACAGTGTCCTGCTTCACTGTGCAGAGCCAGTACTGTCCTCTGACAGAGGGATGGCGAGTCCTCTCCACCCGCTCTCAATGCCAAGGAAGCTACCAGAAGCGCTCTGCAGCTTGCTGAGGGGCCATACCTCCGTGTGCACGTAGGCAGCCTCCGCGTCCCTCTGCAGCGAGCTCTCGATGTCAGCAAGGCTGTTGGTGATGAGGCTGGAGCAGTTCTCTTTGTCCCTGTGGTGGGGCTCCTGCAGATGCTTCTCCACGTCTGCTCCCTCACCATGGCTCTGCTCTGTGAAGTTTCTGGACACGCTCTAGAAAAGCAAGAGAAAGGAAGCTTTACCCCAGCTTCCTCATGCAGCCTGATCTCCGCCTGCTCACTGCTGTGCAGCAGGGGATGCTCCAAAGCACCCGGACCAGAACCTGTCTCCCACCGATCCCTGGAAACACAGACATAGTGAGCTCTGTGTTCCCGGCCTGGGCTCACACCCACGCTCCTCCAGAGAGCTGTGCATTTGCACAGGCTGAGGAGGTGCTGCTGGCCCCTGTGGGGACCCGAAACCACATCCCTGGTGTACAGATCTCCAGATCCACTCTGCCACAGGCCTTATGGAGCAGGGGTGCCCCATCAGTCGCGGTCAGGGATGCTGGCTGGGGCTGCAGCTCTAGCAAAGAGCTGTACAACTCCACACTGTGTCCATGTCATGGCACCGATCACACCTTGCCTGGCACTACCTTTGCTCACTGCAGAGACCCTCAGGGCATCAGAAATGCTGCAGCAAAGTGAAGCTCGTGTTAAGCTGCTTGGACACCCTGAGGGACCTAGCTAACCCATGACCACAAACATCACCTCCTTTGCTTTGTTTCCACCCATGCCTTGTGCCGAGAGGGTCACGGATCCCACCTAGGAACTGAGGTCCTTCGTTATCCCAGGCGGCCCTCCACTCTGAGGACAGCAGAGACCACTGCCTTCTCCAGGAGCAGTGACAGCTCGTCACGTCTGGGCCAGCAGACTTCCCCGTGTCTTTGTCCTAGGAAAGTGGACTCAAGCCTCTTAAAATCCCCAGCTCATAAAAGGAAGAACACAGGACAAGCCAAAACGTCTTAAGTCTCAGCCTTGCATCCTTTGCCAGTGGGGTGTGTGGCCTTATCCAAGCATCTTGGTGAGCTCAGCTCATCTCCCATGAAATGAAGACTGACTGATCCCATTTATTAATCCCACTTTTCCAGCAGGAACCTGTCCTGGCTAGCAATAGGGGTCAGCTCTGCCCGACTGAACCCAGAGGCAAGTTCTTGAGGTCATCAGCACATTCATCTGGTTTGGAGAAAGAGAAGCCCGAGCTTTTATAGCTCCCTGCAAGCTCCAGACACAACAGTGCTCAGCAGAGCTTTGCCAGCCCTTGCCAGGCACACCAGCCTTGCATGCATGCCTGGCAAAACCCAGCCCCAGAGCCTGCAGTGCTAGTGTTTGCATGGTGGCATCCAACCCTGCACGCTCTGTTCAGGGACTGCTCCTCCCCACCACCCTCTGCTCCCATGGAGAGAGGGAGAAGTTGGGGAGAGTAGGAGAGCCAGTGTCCCCTCAGAGAGCTGTCCCCAACCGCGGGAGAGCTGTGGCTCGCTGCACCTTGCTGGGCAGGAAAATTCCTTTGCCCTTCTCAGTCCCCCAACCATGGGCAAACCTTGTATCCAAGAGCTGCTGTGGTCTCTGCCCATAACTTCTGCATCTTTTCTCTCTCAAACGGCAGCTGCTTTGAATAGATGGCACATCAGTCAAAGCATTTTTGCACAGAAACCGGAGCCAGTTCCCCCTGATCCTTCATTTTGAAACTGTGCTACCATTAACTTCTCCTAAAATCCACCGTGACCTTCATCTGTGACCTCAAATTGCCAGCTGAAGCAACAGCTGCAAGCTAAAGTCAGGCGTAGAGAACTGAGTGGCTCTGGCTCAGGCTAGCTGCCTCGCTAGAGAACGCTTTAGCTCTGCGGACCAAATACTTCGGGGGGTTATTCCCTTTACTGACATCATTTGTGTAAAGTACCTTATTATACTGGCAACAACTCAATACCTTCTCCTCTCTGCAAAAATACCATCCTAAGCTCACTTAAACCTCTACCACCCTCCAGGATATCTGAATTCCCAGTCTTTACCCAGGCTTTCTGAGTCACAGCTTTATGAACCACTTTTGAGGCCGAGTCCAAAAATACAGCGACTTTCCCGTAAGCATTCTGCTGCAGTAAGAGCAGGAATAGGGGAGCTCACGACGCTGTCCTAGGAGCATCACAGCAGCAGAAGCAGCTTCGACATCCTCCTATCAGGAGGGTGGCTGTTTCTGGTGGCCTCCTCTTCTTGTCACTTCTGTGTAACATTTGGCCTGTGACTCGCTCTGGGACAAAAACCTGCCTGCCTTTGAGCAGACCGTCACCACCAAAGGGCTGGCCTGCGACAAAGGGCTGGCTGGCTCCTTGAGGCCACTCAGCTGCTCTGCTGGGGAGCAGCTGCTGAAAACGCGCTTGCCTGGGAGCTGTGCACGGAGGCCGACCCTTTGAAGCGGTGCCAGGCTCGTGTTCAGCCTCTCAGCTGTCCTTCGCACCGGACCCCGTGGCCTACCCAGGCGGTCATCTTCCTTCTCGCGGCAGGAATTTACTCGCTGCGCCAGGAACCGGCGGGTTTCCACACCTGCTCCCTGCACCTGCCCGTGTCGCTGCCGCAGCGCAGCCCCCCAGGCTCTGCCCGGCCCCAAACCAGCACGTGCTGGGGGCACAGGGCGAGCGCTGGCTAAGCCAGGCCTCTCCTGCACCCCTCCTCCCTCACACCCAGGTGCCTGCGGACAGGTCCATGACCCTGCTGCCTCGCTTCAGCGAGGTTGCCCAAACCCAGGAATTCTCTCCTCCTACCACCACTTCCACTTTTATTGCTTTCTCTGGGCAATCTTGCCACCCTCTCTGTCTTATTGTGATCAGTCACGTGCAAAGCAGTAACATCGCAAAGCCATCGTGATGTGCTCTGACAGACAAGTGCCATCCGTACTGCTCTCTCTTGAAACCCCTGTGCAAAAACAGGCTCACAGACAGGGCCACTTTGGCACCAAAGAAGAATGCAGGGTTACTTGCACTTGGAAGACAGGTTTGTGAGTAATTAATTGTGCCATTTATCATTGCACAAAGTCCTAACACTTACCTTTGTCTTAACTTACCTTAACATAACCTTTGGCTCAACCATTGACAAGGTCTTTGAGGAACTCACGCGCTGCACTTATGACCTGACCGGTTGTGTCACCCTTCTCCAACCCATTTAAACGTGACAACGCCTAACAGGGCTGAGGACTGAGGAGGAAGCAGAGCCCGCCTGCCGCCTGTGGTCTCCAGTCTCTTCAGCACTGAGGGTGGCTGACTGTTTTGCACCTCCTTGGCAGTGTCAGAAGAAGCCCTGCCTGCAGGATTAAGCGCATGGCAGGCAACGGGCAGGCACAGTGCTCGGAGCTGGGCTGTGTTCAGGGTCTGTGCAGCAGCTTAAAAAGAGGGACTGTCTTCTGTCAGACCACCTAGTTCAGGGTGCCTTCTCTATCCCCGAGGCCATAAGCAGACACCGACAAAAGAGCAAGAACAGGGAAAGCACAGACAATGCTTATCTTGGTACTCTCCAAGCCTCCAACCATTTTCAGTTATTTAGTTTCAGAGTCAGGCAAATTCATGGACAACAGATCCATAAATCGATACCAAAAAGACTAGGCAGAGCTGTCCTTTCTAATATCCCTAATCCAATGACTGTGGATCACAGGAACGGACCACAGACACCACCCTGGTGTACTCCCCCTAAACAGCATCTCCTCTCGCCAGAGTCAGGGACGGCACTGGGCTGGCTGGATGGTTGGCCTGTCCCAGTGGGGCCTTTCCTATGCTCTGAACTGGCCTTTGGTGTCCGCAGTCACGTTCCTCTCTTCGGGTGAGCCCTGCTCACCCTGCCGCAGAGCTGAACTCATCCCAGGAGCAGCTCCATGGCGTCAGTGCAGCAAGCCACCCCAATGGAGGCGCGTAGCAAGGGCCTGGCAGCAGCGCTCCACTTTCCGCTCACTGCAGTTCCCAAATTATCAAAGACTCAGCAGCAAGCCCAAGTAACTCAACTGGAGAATAAGTCAAACCACAGGAAGAGGGTGGGATTGCAAACAAAAACATTAGTGTTTTACTATTTTTTAGACATCAAAACCCCCTTCCTCGTTTGGGTAAATCACCATATTTGAAAACCCAGAATCTTCCAGTCAGGTGCGCTCCTCTCAGCTGTCTCTTTTTTGACCTCTGAGATGGAGTGTGCCGTGCCTTCCCGAAACACTTTGCAAGTGGAATTTTGGCTTTATAAATCATTGATTCTTGGCTCCCGGCTGCAGTCAAATGGGACTGCTCCGCACCGACAAGAATGTGGAATTACTGTCCCAGATACGGACCAAGGGAGAAAACTCCAGTATTTAATCTGGCAACCTGTTGCTGCATAGCTGAACGCAGTTTAACAAACTGCAAATCATACAGTGTACTAGCCAAAGAAATATTAAACTGCATGGAAATGAAAAGGATTTCACTGGGAATCTGCTCTATGAAATTAAAGGTATTTTATCTATCTCTTCAGCAGTGTTGAGGATTTAGCTCTTTTTAACACATGCCAAGATGTAACTTGGCCATTAAGGAATTTGACCTTCTTGGATCCTAGCAGGCCTGGTGAGCGTACCCCAGCAACGCCCCGAACCTCTCACCCTGACATCAAACAACACACAAGCACCCAGTTGAGAGCAACTATCGAGCCAGTACAGACACAAAAACGAGAAGAAGAAAAACTACCTCAATAGCAGGCCATCCTGACCCTGAGGAGATGCTCTCATCATGAATAAGGCAAACCATATGCTTGCCAGAAGATCAAGGGAGGTTATTAAGCCCTCCGCTTGGCCCTGGTGAGGTCTCTGCTGGGATCCTGCGTCCCAGCAGAGTTTGGGCCCCGAGGCATGCGGGGAAACTGGAGAGGCTGGAGGAGGCTACCAGGGTGGTTGGGGCCTGGGGCAGGGTTGATGAGGAGCTCTGCAAGGAGCTGGGCTGGGTCAGGCTGGGCCAGAGGTGGCCAAGGGCGTCTGACCGCACCCCGCAGCTACCTGGGGGCAATTGCAGAGGTGATGGAGCCAACCTCTCCTCCGCAGCGGCAGACAACAGACCGGGGGGGAAACGGCTGCAAACTGCAGCGTGGGAGGCTCGGGTGGGACGCGAGGACAAACACCTTCCCCAGGCAGGTGCTGCAGCCCTGGGGCCAGGCACTGGAGAGGTGGGGGGCTCCAGCCAGGGCGGTTTGGGGCTGGACACGGCCACGATACCTGCACCTGGTGCTAGGACAGACCTGCTGCGAGTGGAGGGTGGGCTGGAGGCACCTGGGAGCCGTGGTCCCACCGGTGCTGCGTTGGTTCTACAACTCTCACACTGGGAGATGCCTACTACATTGAGCAGAGAATTGAATTGAATTATTAAATGTGTTCAGGGAAAAAAACATGAGCACAGTCTGCTTTATGTACCTATGCAAGTGTATAGGCCATCGAATAAAGACAGAAAAACAGACCAGCTTTCAGGAATGCAAAGCCCCTTTCAGGTTCATGCACGCACAACTTCAAGTGCTTTCCTGAACGGTCCCAGCCCTTCCTGTAAACCCTGCAGCTCCAACAACCTTAGAGCATTGAGTACAAATTTTTGCAAGAGACGTTTCAGCTCTTACCGCCAAATGCTAGGACTGTGTAACAATATATATATCATAGCTGCTTGCTGCAATTGCTCTTAGCTATGACAAACTCTAGCCATGGGGTTTCTGAATTCATTTTACTTTAGTTTTGTTTGTTTAGTTCAGTTCCTTTCACTTACTTTACTTTAGTTTTGGTCCAACACAGACAGGGTGAACGTCTTCAGAACAGTGTAAAAACCAAGTAGCTGTGTCCACGTAAAGTGTTTTCTCACAGTTCTTTCAGAGCAATTTGTGCATAGATACTTCAGCCCATGGAGATTTCTCAAGAGGAGAATAATGGGGCTGGAGAAGCGATTTGTGCTGTTAACCCAAAAAGCCTCTGCATCTTGCTAATGCAGATCTTGATAATGCTTGAAGAGAAAGCCTCTGCTGGGATATGGACATCAGACGGCAGTCAAGGCTCCTTTTCTCCTTCACTCTGTGAGTACTCAGACGCATGCTGAGCCAAAGTACAGCAACCTGAGCCCTTGACTGAGCCCTCAACATACCTCAACGTCTGCGCTGCAGGATCTTTCATGATTTTGCCCCAACCTGCAGGTCATTATCCCACAAACACACCACAAGTCAGACAGAGGATTTTCAAAGGGTGCACCAGTGGGATCTGCAGAAGTAGTCTCTTCCCGGTCACACGAGTGCCTTTCATCACCTCAAGCCTTTCTCAGATCTGGCCCTGCGCTGCTCAAAAAAAGTGGGACTGAGGTACCTAACCCAATCTGACACATCTGAACATGTTCCCAAACGATCCTTTGCGGTGATGCATCCTGTCACACACAGTACTGACAGCAACCAAGCGGCAAAACTAAACGGTAATTAGTTAATGTCTCTTCCACAAGGAATGAAGCCCTGAAAGCATCAAAGGTACCAAGAACTTGATTACCTGATTTTAAATAAGTCCTACTGGAGGCAACAACCCTAAATGACAAGGAGTGGGACTTGTCTTACCTCCTCAAGCTTTTCCACCCGGCCCACCAGCTTTGTTGTGACTGAGTGCAGCTTCAGAAGGTCTAAGCCATAAAATGCACTTTCCAGCATCTCGATGATGGAGGACAGCTGTAAGGCAAAGAGAGCGCACAGTCAGCGAGACCTGCCATAAAATATCTTGCGTTGTTTCTACAGCTTGAAGTCAAGGGTAATGCATGGATCTGAGCACAAAGACTTTAATAAAAATTAAGTGCACAGATTAAACTATCGCCACATTTACACAAGTCCCTATTAAAATTAGGACAAACTGTAGAAATATTAACCAGTCACTAGACCCGGAAAAGCTTCTTCTCAATTAGATAGCATTAAACAAGTGAGCACCTCATAGGATGGCAGGCTACCTTTCTTCTCCAGCAAGATCTGTGTTTGAGGGTAAAAATTAATTACATTTCGAGGAGACAGGAGGAAATCCAGAAATTACTGAAAAGTACAGTAAAAAAAAAAAAAGAAGAAAAAACAGCAAAGGACAACAGTCCCAGCTAGTATTCTTGGAGCACCACTCTGCTTTCAGGAGATGGCTGGATGCTATTAATGGGCTTTTTTCCATCTCGAAAGCATGCATCTCAGCCCTCCAGCCCTGTCGCACTGCTGCAGCAGTCAGGCACACGGCATGCAGAGCCACACACACCACTTCTGTGCAGTTTCTGAGGTTCGGGATCATGTTTTGGGTGCTGGGGATTAGTAATGAGAGCAAGGGGAAGCACTGCACCCGCTTCCAGTGCTAGATGAGGTCCCTCACAAGCCCAAATATTTAGCTACCTCCCCCGGCCCCCTAACTGACATGACTGGCAACAAAAGAGGCAACAAGCAAACAGTGGCTCAAATGAAAAGGAGTTTGAGACCTGATTCTGGGTTCATGCCACCGCACGCTTTTTTTCCAGGAACAGGGAGAAACTTATTAAAAAAAAAAAAAACACCTCATGAAAGCAACAGAGAGAAATGAAGTGACTGAAATTCAGTGCCAGACTGGCAACAGCTTGCTATCCTGGAGAACAACCGTATTAAAGGGATGCCGTCTACTGCCATCTCCATCCACCACCCAGTTCAGAGACGCACTGTATTACTCCCACCTTCCCTTATTGCGGGGCCGCGTGCGTGGCACCCCCTTGCCCTTCCTGCGCCGCACCACGGCCTTCGCTCCCGCACAAGCCCAAGCTCAACAGCCCACGCTTACAGCCCCCACAGCTGAGAAGTATTTTCCAATACATGGGAATGACTATAAGAAAGAGACGTTTCTCCCAGCAACTAAAAACTGTTCGACAGAGCTCCATAAACATGGGAGAAATACAGGCAACACTACTGGCAGCGCACTTGAGTTTCCACCTCAGCCTCTGCAGTCTCCCCGTGGAGCTGACAGCAAAGGAAAGCTTTTTGCGCCAAATGAAATGGCAGCATTGAGAGACATGGACTGTTTTATGGCTAGGTATTTACTTTCCATTGGGAACTGGGCTGAGACTACCAATACAATGCACGCAAACTGCCAGACAGCCACTAGAGAAATGCACTTTCCCTCTAGGCTGGAGCACTGCCATCCACACACAAAGGTTATAGACTTCATTAAGTGCCTTCTAAATCATCCTGCATATGCACCCATCACCCAGTTTTGCATCTAAGACACCAAAAATGCAGGCCACACCTACTGAGCGGGGAACCAGCAAACTACAATTTTGCAAAAATAAACATGTGAGATTTGGCTTCCCCTTGCCAACACCAACTTGGCCCTCCCTGAAACATCACACTGATGCATGCGCCAACTAATTCTGTTTCCTTCACTTTATCCACTTTGGCTTTCACTGGTCAGTGGTCCACAGATTCCTTGGGGACATCCTTAAAAGCTAGGATCTCTCCTGAGCTGGGCTGCCCAGCTCGGCATTTGACAACTGCGTTCCTTCCGTGCTGGGGTGACCCAGCGGTGCGCCCCTGCTCCTTGGGTTTAGCTATCCCTTTCATTCCCCTCCCAACACTTCCCTCAGGGAGACATCCGCCAGCCCGCCCATCGTCAGAGAGGGCTCTCGTTTCTGGAAACGTCCCACAGCTTTCCCACATATGGAGCGCTGGGGGCTTTTGAGTCAGAAGAGAAAAGCATAAGAAGCCTCAGTGGGTGTTAAAAACACAGGTTTCCACATTAGAAACAAGGCACAACTCTTAGCCGTTCCCAAGCTGCTAACGAAGGTGATAGCACGTCCCTTCTGGAACATACAAACATGATGCTCTTTAGAACAGCAAAGCGGGTAAAATTGCTTGGATTCGTATGTGCAGTAAGGTGACCTGGCCCATCCACTGACAAACGTGGGAGCTACTTCTTACGGGTGATTTAAGAGTTGAGCTGTGCGCTCTTGTGCCTCTTGGCTTCTCTTAAGACAGGTCAGCGTTCCTGGTTTGTCTGACCCCAGGATGGACTTACTGCTCTGTGAGAAAGCAAGCCTGTTTTCACAACTCCCGTGGTTTGACTTCTACAGCAAAGAAAAACCCCACGTGTATATATTTGGATAAACCTTGTGAAATCGTTTGGATGGGGATCCTTGCAAAATGAGCTCGGAAGACCGGGCCAGTTCCTAGAGGACAAACGTTCACACCGCAGCTGGCTGTGAGCAATCCCCTGGAGGGAAAAGTTGGCCGGAGCCAAGCTTGGAGCTAGCCATGAAGGCTGTGCTCCTCCTGCAGGCTGAGCGGCTCTCAGAGACAGCCTGTGAGGATGCGGAGAGAGGTTTGCACTGCCGGTGGAGGAGCTCTGCCTGCCTCTGCGTAGGAGACTTCATGTGTGACTCTCACCCAAGTGGGAGTCCTCTTCCCCAACCACAGAGGGCTCACAGCTCCTCATCTAAGTCCAAGCCAGACATCCTGGCTTCTCCGATAGACACAGGACCCAACAAAGAAATCCAGACCATGATTTGTCCTACCCAAAAGTGATGGATGATCTGTCTGTGCCTGTTTATCTTCCCTAGCTGCAGGGGAGCTTGGACAACAAACTGCTAGCTGTCTGCACTCTGACAAGATGAAACACATCCTCTAGCTCCAAATTAATTAGAGCAAACAAGTCCTGCTGACGCCAGCAGGAGGCTGCCCCTCAGCACCTAGGACGATGTCCGAACTCCCATCTGAGCTGGGACTACCAGCGCTCCCACACAGACATGTCCCATCACCACACACAGGAGTACCACCAACTCTCACCCTTCTACTCTGGGGAGACCAAAGGGCTGGACACAACCTGCTCCACACCAACGGCCGTTTAGGGAGGATTTATGCTGCCTTATGTAGGCAATAGGGAGACTCTGCAGGGTCTGACTCCAGCTCTTAGACCAACGACAGGAAGGATCAGGTAAAAGTAAAGTGTTTAGAACCAGCGTTGTCACATTTAGAAAGTAAAATACTAAAGAGATTTTAATAACACAGAACTGCCAATGTTTAGGAAGAACAAAACCCCTAATGCTATCAGCCCTTCTCCGTTAGATGCCTATCGCGCTCTGTCACTGACACATCAGCAGCTTTCAACCCATGGAACCCAAAATGGCTTTCTGCATGGTTCCTCTGGGGTCCCTCTCTCCGCACAGGGCACGAGATCTGGCAGCTGTTAAACAGCGCAGCCCTCCAGGGAGCGTTCAATGACAGCCAAAGGGCAGAGAGCAGCCCAGGCCTTCCTGGGTTTACAGCGCAGCAAGCCAGCATCGACCCCGAGAGCACACAGCACAAATCGAGCAGTGTGTTGCAGAGCTACCAGTGAATCATCGAGTGCAGCTGCTTAAATCAATGCCTTAATCTGAGCTTGATTTCTACATAAAACATGCAAGCATAAGAGCAACTACGAATTTTTAAGCTTATAGAAAGATTTTAAGGTTTTTTTTTTTAAAAGGAAAAAGAGCAGAAAAAAATATATTTTTAAAAGCTGCTATGACTATTATGATGAGTTGGCCACGTTTAGGGGCCCTATTTTGAGCTGTTTTCTATCCGGAGCAGGCAACATCTGCTGGAAACACTCTGGGCTCTGCTCTTTCCTGATGTGCACTCTCGCTACTCTGCAGACCTCACTTCTTTGAGCTAGTGCCCTGGCATGCAAAGTTTCCATCACCGCAAGCGGTAGTTCTGGCCCAGGCGTACGAGCCATACCCCAAAGGTCAGTTGAATAGCTTTGCTATAGGGATTGTCCAACTGCCTGTGAACATTTTGACAGTTGCCAGCTGGTGGCAGCAATTTTCCCAGTTTGGAGAGGGCTTTTTGTATGTTCTCACAGCCAAGCCCGGACACGGATAGCTTTATGGGAAAAGGCAATTCTTCCGTTTGGGTCTGTGCGCTGCAGACCTGCCTCTCCTGCCGAGATAAGCCTGCAAGAGAGCAGGCTCTGAGCAGCGTGCCCCCGTTCACAGCACGTGCCAGCGCCACACGAGGAGACCCTGAATTCAAACTCCACTCGTACCTTGAGGTCGCTGCTCTCTGCTTCCCGGAGCTTCTTCAGCCTGAAGTCCCCCTCGCAAGGATTCAGCGCGGAAGGGGGTGCCACACACGCGCACTTGCAGCTGGGTCCAGACGTGATGGTTTCCACCGTGTAAAAATCCTCCGCTTTGAAAGAGCCTTCGTTAATCCTCTGGCAGGCGCCGCGGCCCAGGGGTCTGACCAGACATTTACACCGACAGTCGGAGCCTTCGGACACTGCCTTCACCTTGTCGTAGTCACCTAACAGCTGAGCACACACACAAACCACCGTGAGGCCGTTTAGACCGACAGCCGGTTAACAAACATCTTGCTCTGCGTTTGCGCAGTCTAATTTTTAAGGATAGTTTGGACACCCCGAACCTTGAAGAAACTAGCTGGCTCTGCTGACCAAGGCGTTTTCCAGAGAGTGCCTGCCTCTGTGATCTCTACCTGCATGGGAAACAGCAAGCTTCTTCCAACAGGGTATTTCCCCACCCCCCCAACTTTCTTTGCATAAAATGGGCCTAGCCACTCTGAACTTTAAACAAAAGGCAAACCCCATCCGGCTGCCTTTTAATGCTTTGAGTCAGTCCAGTAAATCACCTGCTACCCTGAGCAACATTTCATTTCAGGGGCAAACAGGGATGGGGTACACTGGAAGGGTGACTCAAAGTAACCCTATAAGCGGTGTAACCTGGCGGTGAAATAGCGTTTCTGATTAGCCCCATACAATGCCAGGAATTTCCTTTATGGAGATTTGCAGAAAGAGTTTCTGAAAGCCCAAGCACAAAAAATGGCTTTGACGGTATGTTTCCAATAGTCTCCAAGTTAGCCATTTCCGAGGGCAGATAATAGCACACGGTTCGATTGGCCAAATCTAACAGAAACCTCCACCGCATCCCACTGGCAGGGAGTCTGGGTCTTGGATCCTTCCCCACTGCACACAAAGAGGCTCCAGCAGGTCTCCCCCAGGGAGTTCCCCGAGGCCCCCCAGGGAAACGTCCCCTGCAGCAGTTCACAGAAACGAGAGGACGGAGGCTGCGCACTGCACCCCACAGGGCTTCGCTGAGTTCGCTGTGCGTGGCAGCACCCGGGGCACCAAAACCCTCTGCAGCTGGACTCACCCAACACCTGCCCAGCACCACCTAGCACCTGCACAGCACCACCCCGCATGCACCCACACTGTCCAGCACCATCCAGCGCATACACAGCACCACCCTGCACTGCCCAGCACCATCCGGTACATACACAGCACCACCCCACATGCACCCCACATTGCCTAGCACCATCCAGCACGTACGCAGCACGGCTCTGCATGCACCCGCACCATCCAGCGCATACACAGCACCACCCTGCACTGCCCAGCACCATCCGGTACATACACAGCACCACCCCACATGCACCCCACATTGCCTAGCACCATCCAGCACGTACGCAGCACGGCTCTGCATGCACCCGCACCATCCAGCGCATACACAGCACCACCCTGCACTGCCCAGCACCATCCGGTACATACACAGCACCACCCCACATGCACCCCACATTGCCTAGCACCATCCAGCACGTACGCAGCACGGCTCTGCATGCACCCGCACCATCCAGCGCATACACAGCACCACCCTGCACTGCCCAGCACCATCCGGTACATACACAGCACCACCCCACATGCACCCCACATTGCCTAGCACCATCCAGCACGTACGCAGCACGGCTCTGCATGCACCCGCACCATCCAGCGCATACACAGCACCACCCTGCACTGCCCAGCACCATCCGGTACATACACAGCACCACCCCACATGCACCCCACATTGCCTAGCACCATCCAGCACGTACGCAGCACGGCTCTGCATGCACCCGCACCATCCAGCGCATACACAGCACCACCCTGCACTGCCCAGCACCATCCGGTAGCCGCGCTCAGCTCTCTCTGGGCAAGGCTCTAAACAAGCGAAGCGCGTCCAGTGCTCAAGGCACGCGTGCCCCCAAAACACCCCGTGCGTTTTGGCGGTGCTTTGTCTGCGCCCCGGGGCAGTACGCTGCGTGCATGCCTCGTTTCCAGGCTCCGCAGTCATTCGGGGTCCTCCTGCGCACGCAGGCCTCGCAGCGGTCTTGGCCATGCTGCGATCTTGGCTAGCCAGAAGGGACTGGAGGTGCCAGAGCGAGGATGAGCCAGAGAGGGCAAGCCTGGCAAAGCGCAGGGGGCTGCAGGGGCCTAACTCCAGCCCACAGCTGCCTGGGGGCAGTGGCTGAGATGATGGAGCCAAACCCTTCTCCATAGGGGCTCCTACAACCTTTTGAACTGGAGAGGCTTTAGGAACTCATACCTCACAGCCAGCTGCCAACGCAGATGCAAAATAAGGCGTGCGGGAGATTCAGCCACGGCTGTTGGGGGAGTGATGAGCAGCACGGGAGGAGTGGGAAACACAGGTCTAGGGTAGCAGCTGGCTAGCGTCTGTCTGACTGCTGGGAGAGGATGACGAGAGCCATTGAAACAGGACTGGTTGACTATTTTAAAGTCACACAGGTGGTATTTACTTGGGGGAGCATGTTCTAAATGCAGCACTAAAAAGAGTGACTTTCAAAATAAAAGACCTGAGCCCAACTACCAAGGCAGCGTAGGACCAGCTGGGACCCAAGAGAGGGAGAAGTTAGAGGCGGATGGGGAAGCAGACTAGGCAGCCTTGCAAAACAAATGACTCCCCATCCGGCCTGACAGCTTCCGGGTATCACACACAAAGCTGGACCCATTTCAAGCAACGTTTAGTTCTTACAGAGCACCTTGACTTTTTTGTGCTCTTTTTAAAGCTCCATCTCCTGGAATCAAGAATCACAGATTCTTCTGATCACAGAAGAATTTCAAAAGAAAAGGGGATTTTCCAAGCCTTACCAAGAACAGCTTAGAACCAGAATTTCTAATGGCTCTGACAGCAGGAGATAAAAGGGACCCCAAGGTTCTCTCTGGTTTTGAAGTCCCGCAATTTTCTAAAGCCAGCCTGGTGGGAAGGAGGACGGGGGACACATTGGCTTGTGACTGTAGGGTGCTTAGGGGTGACTGCGAGCTCACGGACTGAGGCGGTGAGCGCTTTGCAAGCTGGGCTTAGCAGGGCGCAGGAGATGGAGCAATGTTGGCTGGCATTTTGGGGTGGCGATTAGCAGGCAGGCCCTGAGAAAGCTGCAGCACGAATGAGGCAGTACTGGAGGGATCAGCAGTCCCCTTAGTGTGCTATACTTCTCTCAGAAAATCCTAAGAGCCAGGAATAGGCATGATTGCTCTCCAGACCAGGGGCTTTCAGCACAGGTGGCGGAGCTGCACCCGGCAGTGGAGCTAGGAGAAGAGCTGGACAAAGTCACGAGTTACCTGAAAGGAGCCTGGGTCTCCGAGCAAGCCCGGCAGCAGCGCTATGAGCGTAAGAGAAGCAGCTGATGGCAGCGTGGGGGTGGGAGCGAAGCTCGTGTCCCCAGGGGAAAGACTGCTGCGGTGGAGCTGCCAGACAAAAAGCAAACAACTCGTGTGAGAGGGGAAGTGGCTGTGGCATGGGTGACAGCAAAAGTTGCTGACTCCAGGGCCAGGACTGCAGGGCTCTGCGTGCGGATGGCGCCATTCCCCCCCTCCTCCGCTCTCGCTGGGAACTGCGGTCTCTATGGAGAAAGGGGGCAGGGCTGCGGGGGTCCCTGCAGCAAGGCTTAGCAGCACCCAGGACAAAGAGGAGCAGCCTTCTGCTAGCAGAGGGAGGGTGAACAGCCTAAGGGCAACTGGAGAAAGCCAGGGAGTGAAAGCCATCTCTGGTTTCTAAAAACGCCCCTCCTACAGCTGGCCTTGGACTCTGACCTGCCAAGGGACCCCTCCACCTGGTCTCCTCAGCCTCACGCCACCCTCTGCTGCGGGGTAGGCAGCACCAGTCTCTCCTGAGAATAAAACGTCCGTCAGGCACCAGCTCCTCCGCTTCCATTTGTGCCATTGGCTCTCCATCTCCAGGCAGCAGGGAGGCAGTCAGGAGCGGGGGACCAAGCTGTAAGGCTCAGAGAAGGAACAGAGCCAAATCCCGACGACTCAAGCGGAGGGCAGGAGGGAAGGCACAATCTGGGCCTCATGCTAAGAGCCAGCGTAGCGCTACACGCCCACCCTGAGATCCAGCTCTTCCCAAAGCTGTGGCTGAGGTGCGTGGTCCTTGGCCGGCAGCTCAAACCTGGCTCTTTCTCACGAGCAGCTGACAGCGCTGAGGCTGCGCAACTGCCCCTTTGGGCTCAGAGCACCAAGCCCCCAGGCAGTCTTGTCCCCCTCTCCCTCTCGGGGCTAGCAGCTGAGGGAAGCCTGCTAGGTCCCATGGCAAACAGCCCCTATAATTTTTCAAGCCTTTTCCTAACAGTCACTTTAGAAGGCTGAGGAAGGAAGGAAAATGACTCAGTCATGGCATTTTAAAATGAAAAGAAGGATTTCATATATTAATATCCTTTTTCCTTTCTTTTCTTTGTAAGAGGAAGAAGAATCCTTCTGGTGGTATTCAGTTTGGGTTAAAGACAAGTTTAAGCCTGTCCTTTGGGGGCAAGAGGAGACAGTGACAGGCAATTTGGGTTCACTGTGGTCATTCATCTCTGAAGTCTGAACATTCCTCCTTCAAGACAAAAACAAGACAAACCCACAGCCAGAGGAGGACAGCAGTGTGGGAAAAGGCAGCTCTGGCTTTTCTGTCTTGCTACTCAAGAAGACTGAAGGAGGCCTCAGTTTCTCCATATCTGCCCCTGCTCTATACAACTGATCCAAAGAAGCAGGTAAATAGTGTTCCTCAAATACCACAGGTGAAAGCATCACCAGATCTGGTACAAAGGGAATCTAACAGCCCCATGACAGGCCATGAGGCATCTCTGTACCTGGAGCTGTAGGAGCACCAAAGGTGCCCCCCCACACACCTGGGAAGGCATGCCCTTGTGGACCTCCCACCTCCTTGTGTCACCCTGGGCTCCTGCGAGGTTCGAGCTGCACCCTGCCGGAGGCATTAGCAGCACAGAGACTGTGAGGTTATGGTTCAAATCAAGTCAAGGACATGATGGTCAGGCAGGAGGCGTAAAATTTGGGCTAAGGCTGATGCTAGATATAGGGAGTCATTTGTTTTGATTTTAGGCGATGCTGAGTTAGCAAGATGAGTAGCTTGGGCTGGCCAGGACTAGGCGAGGTAGCGTAATTATCTGCACAAAGCGTTCTTTTAGGATAACTGCCATTGTTCTTAGTGCTGGAGCAGTCATGCGCTGCTCTTGGCTGGGTACCACTCGCTCCTGGAGGAAGTTACTGTCCATTTGCACTGGCGTGCGAGTGATCCCCGGGCCGGGTCACTGCACCCGGGCTGGAGGGAGGCCTTGCGCTGGGCTGAGCGACCTCACAGCTCTCCAGGTTTCTGGACTTTTTCCCCAATGCCTCTTCAAGGCTTGCACAGCGAGAGCGCAGCACCACCCTGTGGCATGGACAGCCTTGTGCAGAGCCTGCCAGACCTGCGTCCCCTCGCTTGGGAATGCCGCTGGAGTAGAGGGATCTGTTTAACCCGGCTTCCTTCGTGCCACTGCCGATAAGGCAGCGGAGATCCTGGTGCCAGGTGCAAGGCAGGAACGCCCTGCTGTCTCAGCAAAGCTCACCCTGCCCCAGGGCAGCCCTGTCCGGAAAGCTGCCTTGCGCAGCTCCCCAGGTAGGTTGCGTTCAAGTAAGCCTCGTCTCAGATACAGATCACTTGACAGGGAGATACTAGCTCCGTGTTGATGATGCAGCACACAGAGCCTAGCCTATCTGTAAACTTTAGCATATAGTGCCAGGCCCTTCCTGAACGAAGGCAGGATGCGTACTCAGGAAAACTGAGTGCTTGGGTTTTCCAATGATTAAAATCTGTTGCAATGAAAATGCTTCATATCAGGGCCAGAGTACTGGTCCTAGCCTGCTTCCCACAGGTGAGATCTATGCACATTTCTATCCCTAGCTGACTGCTGCAAAGCCCTTAGCGTGGCAATCACAAGCTGTTTGAAAAAAACATATACTCAAGCAACGCTTTTTCTGTAGAGATGATTACTCACCTGTCTGGACTGAATAGCAGGGATGGGAAGGACAGACACCTGCACAGTCCTCAGCTAACTTAAGGCCGCACGTGAGAAATACCTAGCATTCCTGATGGGACACGCTGTCTCTCTTGTCTCGTCCAGAGGTGAGCAACATGAGCTGGAGGCTGTTGTTGATCCCTGCACACTCCTGGTCCATGCTGTAGCCCTTCCCAGCACCACATCCTGTTAAAAGAGAGACCAAAATTGCTGGAAGCAGTTCCCATTATTAGCATCCCCATGCTTAATCTT